AGTTTAAGATTAATTTTTATCCAATCTTGAGTTATGTATGGGCGTCCAAACGTGCAGTAAATGTATTAGCCTTTTCTCGTAGGGCCATGGCATGTGATGTGAATGTTTGGGCGATATTTCCCTTTTGCTTAACTAATCTTACATTTTCTTTCTTTCCAATCAAGTTGTAGTCTCTGTTCCCCTTCTTTTTTTAATTTTTTTAATTTTTTAATTTTTTATGAATGTGCTTAGATTAGAGTTAAGGTTGTGAGAACTGAGAACGTTATAATGTCTTTTCCAAAGAGAAAAATGAGTTAAAGTATGGATTTTTTTAATCTTAGCCCGCATGTTAAGGTACATCGTCACATCAAATAATATAAAAATATTGATATTGATTTTAATACTTATATTATGTACATTATATTAATTAAATTAAAGCTAGTTTTTATATTTATATTTTTTTAATAATTAAAAAGTAAAATAATTATGCCCAAATAATGCTATAGGGACCGATTGGTCCTTATCTAGTTATTTTGTATTTTTAGATATAATAACTTTTAACTTTTATTTTTAAGTATTGTGATTTTAATTTTAAATTGTTAAATTTTAAATTTAAATATTAAACCTTAAAACCTAATAATATATAACTTAACTTTAAAAATCTAAATCTTAACACCTAAATTTTAAACAATAACATATAACTTAAATTCTAAATTCTAAAAAATTTAAACTTTAACACCCAAAATATTAGTAAACTTGAAAAATTCTAAATCCTAACATCTTAAATATTGAAATTTAAAATAATCTTAGCCCTAACAAATTTTAAAGAAGGTTTGAAAACTAAAAACAAGGTTCAACAAAATTGAGGGATTAACATGAGTTTAAATTGCTAAACTAAACAACCAATTCTTAGTTTAACCATAACAAATACAAAAGAAATTAACTGAGTTAGGGCTGCCCCGTACCATTAGGCCTCAATTGGTCTTGAAGACCACCGGCCTCCTAAGTCCTAATAATTATCCAAAGGAAGTAGCACAGCAACCTCCATGCAATTCAGGAAGTGGTCCAAAAACACGCACAAGGTGGGACAGTAAGATTCCGACAGAAGAAGGTAGTGACAGATCCGTTTGCATCTCTCTTTTACTGTTACAGTTGTATTTTAAGGTTTTGCAGACTTATATCTTAGGTATTTATTTTTGTAATAGATTTAATTTAATTTTTTACAACAAAAACAGGTATCCCATGCTTAGAGTGAATTTTTTATGTATATTAATTACTAGTCTATAACGTCTACTTACTGGTCTTTGGATCATGATATCAATTACTAGTCTATATATAACATCTATTTATTGATGTGGCGCATGCTAGACTATAACACTTATAGTCCATTTGAATTGAGAGGAGGGGAGGAAAAAAAAATTTTTCATTTGATTATCAAAAAAATTAAAAGCGAGGGGAGAAGAAAATTTTCTTTTACTTTATTTTTTCTTTGAATTTAGTTACTTATTTAAATAAGGGGAAAGGAAATGGAGGAAAAAAATTCCACTTCCCTCCCTTCCACTCTCTTCCATTCCCCTCAACCCAAATAGGGTTACAGTTTAAGCCTCTAGCAAAATGCAAAAGAAATTCCTCAAAGCTTTGAAACAAAAGCCAACAAGAAAGGAGCAAAAGTCTTGGACACTTACCAGATCTAAAGTGCCTAGCTGCACAGAAGGATAGCAAACACAAGACGAGAATTCTGAAAGACAAAAATAAATATATTGTGTTTGTGAGAATTCTTGAAATCTTTGAAACCAAAGCCAAGAAATGAGAAAGACTCACTTACCAGATCTGGAATGGCTAGCCACACAGAAGGGATGTAAACACAAGACAAGAATTCTAAGAGATAAAAAGAGATATATTGTGTTTGTCAGAATTCGTTAAAGTTTTGAGACCAAAGCCAAGAAATGAGAAAAAGACTCACTTACTAGTTCTGAAATGCTTAGTAGCCACACAGAAGCATAGCAAACCAAACGCAATAGAATTCTTCTGAGAACAAGAAAATGGTGCTGTGAAAGCAGATAACTGGACAACAACATTATTTTATCTAGAATGAAGATGAATTTAGTAAGAAGGAAGAATATCTATACGTAGGCAAAAGAAAGAATATAATGTTTGGGGGTGAAGGGTAAAGCAAGGTAGATTTGTTATTCTTTTCTTTCACACTTTCTAATGCTAAATTCTTTCCCAATTATCAGTATGATTTTCTCTTAATTTCATGATTGTTTGTCTTTCCTTTTACATTTTGATTAGAGAATTACACTTTTGTTGAGGTGGAAAAATATCTGGCATCTTAAACTCACCGTTCTAATGCAAAATTCTTTTCCCATTGATCAATATGCTTTCTCTTTTCATGATTCTTTGTCTTTTCTTTTACATTTTTCAGTATGATTAGAGAATTATACTTTCTTTTGAGGTGGGAAAATATCTAGCATTTTAAACTCACCGTTCTTGGTGTTTTCTTTTCATACTTAGCAGGAAAAGAACCAGGCAATTAGCATTAGGAATTGGGAATCGCAAAGGATAGCAACCATTGTAGAAAAAGGCTGTTATAGAAACGCTACTTGTAGAAAAGGAAGTTAAAAAATGGAAAAAAAGAAAAGAACAGACAACAAAGCTACTGCTACATTTTGCAAAAATTAATTTGCAGCACAAGCCAACAAAATTTTGCTAGGTTTATTCTGGGCTTAAAAGGATTGCGCTTATTGCTTATCAGTTATTACTTATATATTAGGCTAGGTTTCCCTGTTGCGAAACCAAGGGAAAACTACCGTGGGCCTGAAATGAGTTGACTGAATCAAAATAAAATGAGTTGGGGTGAGCATTTTCGAGTGTGAGATATATTTGAAACTTGATTTGAAAATTTTTGGGTATAATTTTTTAAATTTAGTATTTACTCAAATACTTGAACATTTATACTTAGTACTTAACTCAATAGATATAAGGTAATATGTGAGTATATATTTATGTACTTATTGAATGATGTTTTACTTTAATTTTTTAAAATTAAAACTTAATAAAATATTATTTACTTTTAATCTAAACTTAAATATAATTAATAAAATGTTAATAAAATACTATTTATTACAATCTAAACTTAAATATAATCTAAAATAACAATAGAAAACTAAAATTTGGTTTAACATCAAGAACTCAAATCTAAAAAAACTAAACTCAATTAAATAATTAATAATAAAGAATAAAAAATATGTACTCAAAAAATAAAGAATGAAAATAAATTATATAACAGAATGAAAGTCCTTCAAAAAATATGTTCAGGTTTTTAGGTTTGTAATCTCTCTAATCCTCTATTTCGGTTTGTTAGAAAGGGATAGTGGCTATTGGTATTGTATCTATTTTAACATCCTGATGTCTATACTTTTTGACTTACGATTCTTATCATGTTAAATTTGGTGTTTGAAGTTAAAAAATCATTTATACAATAAATAAAAACTATGACTCAAAAATCACTAATAAAAAGGTCAAAAGAAAGCTAAAAAAAAATCAAAATTTGAAGTTATAAATACTAACTGTTGTCTAAGATTGCAAGGAAGGAAAAAAGTTATTAGCTGTTTGTGTGATATGTACTTGATTTAGAGTTTGTTATTTACAAGTTACGTATGTGTTTTTTTTTTTTTTTTTTGCATTTTATTTTTTTATTCTTAAAAGTTATAATTATTATATAGATATTAAATATAATACGTATATATAAAATTCAATTATACAAGTACATGTAATATGTCAATTAAATAAAACAATTAGATAGGTCAGGTAAACAATTTTGAACTCTCATACTTGTTACTTGATTTAATATTTGCGGATGTACTATTTTTATACCCATTACTTGCCCAATTTTTTTACATTTCGACTAAGGTACTTACCTAAACAAGTAAAATACTTGTAAGTAGCTATACTTGTATCCAATGCTCACCCTTAAAAATTACCACAATATGGTATTACTACCATATAAAAAATAGAGTTTGTGTGTTTTATAGTTTGAATTGTGCATACTATAAAATATTAGTTATTTAATTGAAAACGGTCATCGATATTCAGGGAGTGCTCATTCATTTAATTATTAATGTTTTTGTAATCTAATATGATTTAGACTACAAAATACTTAAAAAAAAAAAAAAGATAAAAAGAGATTATATTTTTGAATAAAGATGGAAAAAGTGGGGATTATTGGGTACCGTTAAACAGAAAAAGTAGAGATAATAGGATCTCTTAAGGTTAGATTTGGTTTGATGAAAATGGAGAGGATGGGAAGAGAGAGGATCCTTATATTCCCTCTATTTCCCTCCCTTGAATCGGACAAGTGAAAGAATTAGAATTTTAAAAGAAAAAATAAAGTTAAGGACTTCTCTCTCCCTCCAACTTTTTTATTAACTAAATATAAGAATTTTTTCTCTTTTAGTTCTTTTTTTTCAAACCAAACATATTCTATCAAAGTTGGGTATTCAAATCAACGGAGTACCATGACAAGAATGATCATAGGGCCTCCTAATTTGGGAATTGATCCTGAAACATTTTATCCAGAAAATTTGAGATTGAATTTAGTTAAATCTCGCTTTGCACCAAATTGAGCATGTTTGAAGTGCAAGTCTCATTTCGCTGGGACTAAAATGTGATGTGGTTTAAATCATGGGACTAAGCTGACAGGCGGGTAAACATTGAAGAACTACAGTGCAAAAGGGAGTCCACACGGCGTCATTTTATGCCTAAAAAGGGAAAAAATAAAACCCTAACCCCCAATTCTGCAAATTTCCTAAGGAGCTCCTCCCTTCCCCTTCGCCGTTCCAAACTACAAGTTGGCCCCACGCCTCAGAACCCCGGTGAAAATCCTTGGCCAGCCCTCCACCTTACTGATTATGAGAGTATCAGCCCTCAACTTATAATATGAAAGTTTTAACCTCGCACTCTACAGAGTAATAACCTCTCAATTTACAATATGCAAATTTTAACCCCTCATATTTTCAATCTAAATGAAAAAGTCCTAAAATAAATAGCCACATTGTGTGCTCGTTAAATTCCATTACCTATTGCCATGTCAACACTAACATGGCAATTCCTTACCATGATGATTGCTATTGTGTTAGGGACACAATTTTCTACTTTTATTTAACTTGATAAAATTGGATTCAATATGAAAATCTGACTTAATTCATTCACTAGAGGTAAGGTCATGGGTTTAAACCTCTAAGATATCAATTTAGAATCATATATAATCTAAACCAAAATTACCCGAACTTGACTGAGTTGGGTCATAGTTGATTTGAGTTAATTCAAATTGATCTGACTAAAGTTAATTAATTTTTTTAATTTAAATTTTAATTAATTATATTTTTAATTTTAATTTTTAAGTATAACATAAAATTAAATACTATAAAATGATTATTATTTATTAGATTATTAGTGTTAGTATTAATTTAAAAGATTGTTGACTAAATAATTAATTAATATTAAATTTTTTAATATAAAATAAAGAAAATATTAAAATTTTTTAATTTTAATTTTTTAAAAAGTTAAGTTTACTTGATCCAATTCAAGTTTTGTGTAGGTGAATGGGTCTACTCTTTTAATCTAAAATCTGAAATGATCAAACTTAAAATTCGAGATGACTCAATTCAAACTCATCAAATTTGACTTGTTTGTTAGGTTTAACTTTCATTATCCACAATGATAATTCATGATGTCAAGAATTGTCATGTTGACAAGCAATTGCCATGTTGGTGTTGACATGGTAATGAGTGATGGAGTTTTAACAAGCATATGACATTGCCATCCATTTTAGGTTTTTTTTTTATTTAAATTGAAAAAATAAGGGGTTAAAATTTTTATATTATAAGTTGAGGGGGTCAATACTCTCCTAGTTAGTAAGGTAAGGGGCTCAAACTTTCATATTATAAGTTAAGGGGCTAATACTCTCATAGTGAGTAAGGTGGAGGCTTGGCCAGGGATTTTCGCCTGCAAAAAAGAAAAAATAAAACCCTAACCCCCCAATTCTGCAAATTTCCTAAGGAGCTTCTCCCTCCAACTTCGCCGTGCCAAACTACAAGTTGGCCCCACGCCTCAGAAGCCCTGCACACCTGACAAATCGGCAACCCCTCTTCGTCTTTTGCTTTTTGTGCAGAGACCAGGGCTTGTCGGAGGAAAATAGGTGAAAAGGCTTTGTCCTATCCGAGCTACGGTTGGGAGAAAAGAGAAGGGAAGTTCGAAGGGTCCCAGGTGACCGTAGGTTAGGTTAATTTTGGGATAAAGAGGAGAAAAATCGGATTTCAGGGGGACTCCGGTCAGGCCTCCTCGAGATCCTGCCATCGATAAATGTAGTATATTTCTTGTTTGTTTACTCTTTCTAGTTGCAGATCTGTGAATTTAGTGTAAGCTTATTGAAGAATTTTTCTTTTCCATGTAATGTGTATTTGAAAGCTTGAATATGCATGTTAAATTCCAGGCTTGTATTGAATGCTGTGGGTCTTATTCGATTTTTCTGCATCTTTCTTCGATTTTTCTGAATTTTGTTGGCCTCGCCGGAATCTGGAAATTCTGGCCGGAATTCCAGCCGGCACCGGTATCTGGAAATGGTATCTCGAAATGGATCACCGCCGGACTCCATTGCGTCCGTGTTTTTTTCCATTTCTTCTGTTTTGGGCCAGGCCGAAGTGGGTTTTTCCATCGTTGGGCTTATTAAAAAAAAATTTTAACCTGTGCTATATTATTATTTTTTTATTAATTTATATTAAAAAATAAAAACTGATTTACTTTTTATTAACTGTGTAATTAAACCGTTTTAGGTAATTCCTTCAAAAAAAACCTTTTTTAGGTAATATTGGTATTGAAAATAAAAATAAAGTTTACCAGTGTAATTATCTAGATAAATTAGGTAAAAACTTACTTTTTAACCCCTCATCTTATCAAATTTAAAAATTTTAACTTTTTACTTTATATTTATATTATGACATTTTTAACTATTTACTTATTAAATTTGTAAGTTTAACTTTTAACTATTTACTTTATACTATAACATTTTTAACTTTTCACCTGTTAAAATTAAAAAAAATAACCCTTACTTTGTAACATTTTGTTAACTGATTATTAATTCTATTAATTAACTGTTAACTTTATTAATTAATTGTTAATTGACTGTTAATTTATAAAATTCTCCTTTCAACTAACATAATTAATAAAATTAATTTTATAATATTTCATTAATTCTGTTAATTAACTATTAATTGATTATTAGTTAACAAAAACATATTTTCAATTAACAGAATTAATAGTCAATATAAAGTAAGAGCTATTTTCTTCTATTTTAATAGCTAAGAAGTTAAAATCCATAAATCTAGTAAGGTGAGGGGTTAAAGTATCATTGAGGAGTTAAAACCTTCAAATTTTGTAAAATTTTGTAAAATGAGAAGTTAAAAGTAAATTTTTACGATAAATTAGTGATAAAAAATTATAATAAATAGGCGCTAAAAACACCCTTTCAAAACTAAAAAAAACCTAATTAAATGAAATGGGCCAGGCCCAGTAACTTTTGTTTTGTGGGCTTTCAAGAAAAGAAAGAAGATCTGCAAATGAGTTTGCGACTTCGGGCTTAAGATTCAACTCATTGCTTAATTAAGTTTATGATTTTATATTGAACCATTTCAATAATACTAACTTGTAACACTTATGGTTTAAGCGAAAGAAATTCCCCAAAGCTTTGAGACAAAAGCCAACAAGAAATGAGTGAAAGACTTGGTCCCTTACCAAATTTGAACTGCCTAGCTGCTCAGAAGAATAGCAAACACAAGACAAGAAAATTCTGAATGACAAAAAACAGATATATTGTGTTTGTGAGAATTCCTGAAATCATTGAGACCAACGCCAATAAATTAAAAAAGGAACTCACTGACCAGATCTGAAATGCTTAGTAGCCACACAGAAGGACAGCAAACACAAGAGAATTCTTATAGGAGAGAAAAAGAGAATGTATTTGTGAGAAGACTCAACTTAGGTAGAGGCTAAGACCACAAGTTCATCTACTTGATCACATTTATGCCTTGGTAAAAATCTCCATATTTTCCCATCAGTTTAGACAGATACACTGAAGAAATAGAGACTCCATTTTCAGAATCAAATGGATCAAAAAATAAAATTAATAGTAAACAAAAGGTTTTTTCTTCTTGGAAATAGAAACACATTTTAAAGCCTCTCCAATGAACTCTGAGTGGCACTTGATAAGATTATACCATTGCATGGTAAGAGAAAAAAGAACATCTAGGTAATTGGCATATACTGCAGGAACATATGTTTGAAGACATTATTTTGGCATGTTTTTTCTGTTTAGTTGCATATCCCAAATCAATACACCAAAGAGAAAGAGAACTAAAATATCATCTTCACATTCTTCGTCTTCTCCTACACCATATCAAGACTAGTCAGCCCAAGCATTGAAAACTGAGATTTGTATACCAAAAAGTTGCTATTCTATCAAGGATAGATATAGTTACAAAGAAAGAAGTCAAACCTAGACAAACTTCAGCTTGTGTTGACTGCATAAATCATTAACAAATCAATTATTTGATTAATTAAGAGTCATGCAATTAGCAAAAAATAAATAATTAACAAGTTTTTTTTTGGGAAAAATACACATAGGAAGGAATTTCAGGACTCACTAGAAGTGCAGGACATTAGGGGAGCATCTTGAACCAGTGATATGATATAGGAAAGGAATATTTCAGCAGCCAAGTCTCGTGTGTCCCTGAAATGCAAAAAATAAAAATTTAAATAAAACCATCGTGTTAATCAACTTAGATGAACAAGTTTCAGGAAAGTAAGGAAGAAAGAAAGCTTTATGAAAGTAATTTCATAGAAAATGGTGAAGATTTTTCATTAGGTGGCAATTTTAAGAGAAGACACTATTGGAACAAAATTATTAGCTAGTACACTTAAGGAACCTGTACTTTCTAATAATTGGCCATTACATCTAAGAAATTATAAGTATGGATTAATGAATTGAGGTTTGCTTAATTGAACTTACCTCAAGCATATTGGAGTCTGCAAATCAATTCTGACATTCTGATGTTGGAAATGTGGAATGAGGGATAAGTTTGGCATGTGCAACATTGCTATCAAGGAGTGTTGAAGGCAATAAAGACTGGTAGAATGCTAAAATAAACATATCTACTCTGTTGTCCCACATCTTTTAGATTAGATACAGTTTACTAACCTTTAATGAGTACTTACAGATAAATAGATATATTTTGGTGAAATACCAGTCATTAATTCAATAAGCACAATGTCTTAGCCACTGACATCATCTTCTATTAGAAAAACTAAATCACAAAAGCAATCAGCAGTATCATCAACACCTGCTGTCTAGTTCTTCCTTTCTCGTTCAACTTGACATCTTCCCTGCCATAGTTTAGAATTCAGGGGAGAAATAAAAGGAAAAATAAATGAAATAGCAGAAAAATTGAAACAAACCATGCTGCTGTTACTTAAGTAAAGAATATGATATTTCTTATAAAACCAAGGGAAGTGGCTGGAGCATAGGATGATTTGCATCAGGTTCAACAACAAAAGAGAAGCACAGAGATATATTGTCACTCAAGACTGTTAGCAACACTGGATATTTTCATTTGCCAGTTCTGTTCAGTTAGTTGTTTATATTAATAAGTTTAAGAAGATTTAGATAAGAGAAGAAACAAAATCCAGTCCTCATTGACTTAATGAGTTGAATATTATGATCTTGTTATCATCAACGAGACCAACAGTCTATCCAAACAAAATTGGAAATTAAATCTTTTTTCATTATTGTTGAATTTGTACAAAGAATTCAAAAGATTAATAGGAAGGATCATCCCGAGTAATCTTTAACAGACATAATTTAATCAAGATTTCAAATTCACCAAAGCAAGAAAAGTCCCAATTAAGCCCACAATTTTTCTAAAAGAAAATAGATGAACAAAATTGAGCTAAACAAGTAAACTAATCAGACAAAAATATAAATCATAATCAAAATCCAAAAACAGTATTATAGAAAAGAAATCTGTATATGTACCTTAAAAACCGAAAGCATGTAATAATTACTCCTGCTGCTGGGCTTTCACACCCTTAAGCTTTATCAGATGCATCAGACATAACTTGAAGAATCGCATTCCGTGTGTTTTTATGCCAAAAAATAAAAGCTGTTAAATTTAAAGAAAATAATATGCAGTATAGAATTTGGAGACTTGCTAGCCTCTATGAACTCTGAGCGGCCCAATCACAGTCACAATCCTCAACCCTGCATGAATAACAAGTTAAGTTTCATTAAACTTGCAAGTGTATGTTATGAATCCATTATACCCAACAATTTAGGTTTTAGAAATTAAACATACCTCACTCATTCGGATTGCTGCTGCAGGTGCATCCAATTTATCATGATCTTGGGGATGTGGGAAATCTTGGCCCATTCGGGGCCCCTCTCTTTGGCGCATCTTTCCTCTAATTTGGGAGAACGCCAAATTTCAAGAGATTGTAAGTTGGAGAGGCGTCGCATGGCTTCAATAGAAGGCAGATGAGTCAAATTAGAGCAATACCCAATCTGCAGCTCGTGTAGAGAAGAGAGGTCTCCCAACCACTCTGGCAACGCTTCCAGGCCATTGAAGTCCCTTAACAATAGTCTCTTGAGGGCAGTGAGATACTGAAGCTGATGTGGCAGAGACTTTAGTTTATCCCATCCGAACAAGCACAAATCTTCAAGGGAGGCGTGGAGTTGATGAATGAAAGTTAGTCTAGGAAATTCCTCCAACTCCGACCAGAAACCACCTATCCATAACGACTTCAAGTAGGTAAGTCTACCCACGCACTCCTCTGGAATGCTTCTCAGCTTTCTACAATTACGGATCTCCAGTTGACTGCGAGAATGTAATCCGCGAGCATCTTCAGTAAATGAAATTATATTATGACAATTCCAAATTCTCAAATGCTGGAGAGAAGAGCAGGATCCCAGCCCAATCGGTAGGTCCGTTAATTCATCACAATTAGAAAGCTCAAGTCTGGTAAGAGATGTGAGCCTATTTATATTTATAACAGAAGACAATTTTTGGCATTTGCAAATTTCCAACTGCTGAAGAGAAATGCAAGATCCCAATCCGTTTGGTACACTCATTAATTCATGACATTCTTCTATAGATAAAGTTTTAAGAGATGAAAGCCCGTCCACACTTGGTATAGCCATCATTTTGTGACATCTGCTTATTCTCAAGGAAGACAGTTTATGATTAGATGAAAATCCATCCATCAACCAAGTCTTCAACACAGGACAATTGTCAATATTCAACTTCTCAAGACAAGGAAACACGGTCATGCCTTCTACCTCTACCCATTCCTCAAGGCTTTCCATATTTACTACACTGAATTCTCTTAAAGCTGGGAATTGTGTAGCCGATACTACTCCATCATTATTGTTGCTTTGATCCAGATGGAACTTGCTACCCATGCCTTTTACCTTCTCTATCCCCACAATTTTAAGAAACTGGAGATTACGCAATAGACCGAGGCTCGGAAGATATAAGCATTCATTGCAATAACGTAGCTCCAACTTCGTTAAATTGTTGAGTGAACTATTGACACCACCCTGCACCCATGACGGGTAGTTCTTTCCCTGGTAATGCTGAATAATTAAGCTCTTCAAATTTGGGTGAGGTTTAAGACCTTCTAGAACCTCTTCATTGTTGAGGTTGTTGTTGGCTTCTTTCTGTGCACTCCATGTAAATTTCAACCCCTGCAATTTTTTCTTTCCTTTTAAGTTTGCTTTAGAGGCTTCTAATTTGGATCCTACAGCTTCAAGTTTTTGAATGTTCAATTCCCCTCGCAATTGGCTTAAGCATCCAAGTTCTTCAATTCTATATCCCTTTTCTACTCCCACAAAAAATAGTGGTAATGTTTGAAGGGAAGTCAAGTGCCCAATCTCCTTTGGCATATGTTTTTCATTGTTGAAATAAAGATGCCTCAAGCTAACCAGATTTTTCATATCCTTAGGGAGTTTCAGAAGATGAGGCCACCCCATGAGTCTTAAAGTTTGCAAATTGAAGAGCTTATTAAAGGATCTCGACAGGACATTGAATTCAGTTCTTGAGATGTCAACGTATCTCAAATGCTTCGATTTGCATAAATAATTTGGCAAATATTTTGTGTCATCTTCTACTAATTTTAAAGATCGCAAGCTTTTCAGATCAGATGCCATTCTTGTGAAAGCATGTACACTCGAGAACAAAGAATGCAACCCTTTTAGAACGTCTCTTGGAATGGTTGGACACGCTTTCCTCTCAGACTTAATTCTCAAGTGTCGAACATTAGAATTGTCAACAATATTGCAACCAGACTCCTCCCAAATCAAAACCTCACCTTTGGAGACAAACACTGCAAGATCATGCACTACATCATGCATCTTGCAAAATTTGATATACCCATATTCATCCATTTCCACGTCTTGAAATAAGGAATTGGCTAACAAGTGATTAAAATAGTCATTACCAATATCCTCCATTGTGTTGAAGCTTTCATTAGATTGTTGAAGAAATCCAGCAGCCATCCAGAGTTGAACTAAGTCATCTTTTTCAATGACAAAATCCTTTGGAAAAATTGCACAGTAAGAAAAGCATTTTTTTAAAGGAGAAGGTAAGCGATCAAAACTTATTTTCAATATGGATAAAATCTCATCTCCATTCCCTGAATTAAAATTCCAAGCTTCATCATTTTTGATAGCCTCCCATGTATCTGCATCAGCTTGATGACTCAATGTCCCTCCTATGACAGTTGCAACTAATGGTAAACCCCCACATTTTTTGGCAATGTCCTGCCCAATAGCTTCCAAATCTGGAGGCATCGAAGTAGTTTCTATGGATGATCTGAGAAACTTCTCTTTGATTATCAACCAACATTCATTATCTGATAGCCCCTGCATTTTATAGCTTTGCATAGGAATTGACTCCATCACAGATGCTACCTTTCCACTGCGAGTTGTTGCGACAATAGAGCTCCCACTTGTTTTTAGAATTTTTGACAAACGAGAGGTGAAAGAATCCCACTTTTTAGGATTATCATTCCATACATCATCAAGAATAAGAAGAAAAGTTTTGTTCTCTAATACTATGGCAAGACCTTCAAGCAATGCATTCATACTATTCCTTGGAGCAGCACTACTACCAAAATGCTCTAACATCTCTACCAAAATGATATGATCATTGAAGTCCTCAGATACACACACCCAGGCCATTAGATCGTAGAGCTTTTCTTCCTTTGCTTTCTTGTACAGTGATCTTGCTACTGTTGTCTTTCCAACCCCAGCCATACCCACTATGGAAATGCCAGAGATCTTATGTTGACTGCTCCTCAAGTTAAGCAACAAGTTGACAATTCTTGAGACATCACCTGCCCTTCCAATTACTTTGGAATTATCAGGAAAAGAGTCTGTCTTTTGATATTGCATTGGACAAGTTTGACCGCTGAATGTGACCACCAGGTTGATCATGGGAGCCAAGCCTTGCAAATAGTCCAACTCATCAGTAATGTGCTTGATTTCGCTAGTCATATGACTACGAAACTTGGGAGAAAAGATGACAGGTTTCAAGAGCTGCCCACGATTCTTAACTTTGTGCTTAAGAACCTTGTACTCACACTCATCCAGTACAATCAGTGCCTTATAAGCTACCTTTTCGAGATTCTGTAGCCAATCTCTTATAGCTGGATCATTTTCTTGCCTTTGTTCAGCTCGTTGGAGGAGAGATTGAATCAAATTGAGAGAACTGCGAAGCTTATTAAGCTTCTCCTCCAAACCCAGTGCATTCCCGATTCGTTCCCTAACAAACGAAAATATCTTGGAAATTGCCTCCTCAATGACAGGGCTGAGGAAGGTGAGGGCAATTTCAGCCATTATGCTTGAACACAAAAGAAAGATTGCAAACAGAATTGAATTCTGCAAAAACAAACAGAATAGTGTTACAGATGAGAGCAGACAAAAATTTTGCGCTTCGAGAAACTTACATAAAAGGATTTTTTTTTTTTCATTGCTTTCTCCTTTTCAAATCTAATTAAGTGGAGGAACACCTTGTAAATTCATTATGAATTAGGTTAAACCTCCTTTTTGGTCCCTCAACTATTGTCTGAACCCCCAATTGAGTTCCTCAACTCAAAAAATCTCTAATTTGATCCCTACTATTTACCATTTTAACCCCGATTTGGTCCCTACCGTTAATAATGGCATGACATGTCCTATTAATTCACGGTGACACTATGACATGTCAAAATACGCGAAAGACAACATGGCAAACAAATAGTGACATGGAAAAAAATAATAATATGGTAAAAAAATATTAATATGAAAAAAAAAAAAAAAAACTTAAAAAACTCTTTTTTTTTTTCCCTTTCTCCTTCCCTTTCTGTTTCTCTTGGGGTCTTGGGTTCTTGGGTTCCTGGGTTCCTTGGAACCCAGGCGCTGGGATTCCTTCGAGCTCGACGCTAGGTTTGAAGGAGCCCAATGCCTGGTTCCTTCGAACTTGGCATTGGGTTTGAAGGAACCTATGCCTGGGTTCTACGAACTCGGTGCTGGGATCCTTGGAACCCAGGCCTAGGTTCTTACAAACTCGGCGCTGGGTTCCTTCGAACTCGGCGCTTGGTTCTACGAACTCAATGTTGGGTTCCTTGTAACCCAGGCTTGGGTTCTTACGAATCCGGCGTTGGGTTCCTTCAAACCCGATGCGGGTACGAAGGAGCCCAACACCTGGGTTCTTACGAACTCAGTGCTGGGTTCCTTTGAACCTGACGCTAGGTTCCAAGGAATCCATCCCTGGGTTCTTTCGAACCCGGCGTTGGGTTTGAACCCAGGGGCAAAAACTAAAAAAAAAATTATATATATATATATATTTTTTGGGTTTTGTTGTTTGATGATGAGAAGAATTGATTGATGGAGAAGGCAAGGCAAGGCAAGGCAAGGAAGAGGAAGGGTTCGATTGAACCCAGGTGCTGGGTTCCTTTGAACCCAGCACCCTTGGGTTCTTCGACAAAAAAAAAAAACAAAATTGTTTCTGTGTTTTTGTGGATTTTGTTGTTTGATGAAGAATTGATTGATAAAGATGAAGATGAAGATGAAGAATTGATGGATGAAGAAGGCAAAGAAAGGAGCAGGAAGGAGAAAGAGAGTGGAGTAAAAAAGAGAAATTTTTAAATTTTTATTGCCAAATCATTATTTTTTTGCCAGGTTGTCTTTGCATGTAGGTTTAATATTTTGACAGATTATTATACTTCCGTTAGTTAATAGTACACATCATGCGATTTTTAGCCGAGGGACCAAGTCGGGGTTAAAATGGTAAACAGTAAGGACCAAATTAAGGATTTTTTGAGTTGAGGGACTCGATCGGAAATCTGTACAATAGTTGAGGGACTAAAAAGGGGGTTTAACCTATGAATTATGCAGCGTGAGAATAACTGAGGAAAAAAAAAAAACTGAGACTCAAGAAAAGAAATGTTTTTGAGTAGGTATTAAATTAATGTTTTACGTGTACATATTCTTTTTATCAGAAGAGTGGTAGAGATAAATAAAAAATATATAAAAGTCTGACTTCTTTTGTAACTAATGGCTAAATTCAATAAATAATTTATTAATTATATGATTTATTTAAATTTAGTTTAAAAATAATTTTTTTAAAATGATTTATAAATTATCAATTTTATTTCAAAATGATCTACTTGACAAACATTCTTTTAGTTGACTAATAGAATTCTTTTTAGTCGTTGACAAGTTACCTCTTAAACTTTTGAAAATATTAAATATAGTACATATATTTTTATTTTTTACAACATTTTGTTTTTGTAGTTCAAATTTTTTTTTTGTCAAATAATATAATTAACTAAGATGAGATTTCAATTTACATTCATTAAGATTCTAATTTTAATTTATAATAATCAATATTATAATTTAAATTTTATTAATGATTTAATTAAATAATTTCACATGATATTAATATTTAAAATAAAATTTTAAATTTAAATTTTATTAATGATTTAATTATATTATTTTAAGTACTATTAATATAATATTAATGTTTAAAATAAAATTTTTCTACCTTTCTAATCATCTAGACAAATTAACGATAAAAGAATAATAAAAACACCCTTGACACGCGCCCCCGCGCGTGCGCACACATATATATATAGAAATTTGTTTTACATAAACAATTGTATATATTTTATTTTGTAAAATTATTTAAATGTTTTTAAATTTATTTTTATATTATTTTATCAAAAATATTTAATTAATTTCACAAAACGAACTATATATAGTTCACCCTGAAAAATAATTTTTAGATATATATAGGTTAAATGTAAGGATGTCAACGGAGCTCCGCGAGGTTGGGGAGTATGCCCCCGTCCCCGTAAATGGCGGGGACGAGGATCCTCGCGGGGATATTTGACGGGGGGTAAATTTTGACACCTATCCCCATTCTTCGTGGGAAACGGGAATCCCTGCGAAGATTCTCATTCCTCACCAATTAATACCAAAGTATATATTTTTTGCATCAAATATAAATAAAAATTAATTTAACATAAATAATTAAATCAACAAAAGGGAAAAATTGAAGGTGAGATCGTGAGAGTAAGTGAGGAGAAATTGTAGAAGCAAGAAGGGGAGGGGAAGGTCAAAGGTGAGGTGAGAGTTTAATTGTCCGACCAAGACCGAGAGTGAGTGAGAGCTGTGGCTGCACTGCTGCGTGAGTGAGGAGAAAGGAAAATAATAAGTTTAGGAAGTTAGGGTTAGAAGGAAGATGATGGGTTGGGTTGGGTAAAATTTAATTTTTATTGAATTGGGTTTTGGTTTTATTTTAAAGGTTAAATTAAATTTAAAATATATATTTTTTAAATTTTTCATCGGGATAGGGATTCCCGCGAGGCAAGGAAAGTTCCTTGTGAAATTTCATGAGGAGAAAATTCCCCCCATCCCCTCCCACGGGGAGGAATATTTCTCCCTGTCCCGTCCCCAAGACGGGGATCCCCGCGAGGATCGGGGAAAATTGCCACCCCTAGTTAAATGCTCATTTTGGTCTCTCAACTTTATCGATTTGCACATTTTTAGTCCTTAAAGTATTTTATACACTTTTTTGATCCTTCAACTCTAAAAAACGCACAATATTAATCTTCCGTGAGTTTGTGCCTTTAACTCTCCCCTAGTTAAATGCTCATTTTGGTCTCTCAACTTTATCGATTTGCACATTTTTAGTCCTTAAAGTATTTTATACACCTTTTTGATCCTTCAACTCTAAAAAACGCACAATATTAATCTTCTGTGAGTTTGTGCCTTTAACTCTATCCACGTGATATTTTTTATATTTTTTAATAACATGGCAAATTACGTGGTATTTTTTATATATTTTTTAATGATGTAGCAAATTAAATTAAATCTAAATGCTTATATGGATAAAAAAATGGTGCCAAGTCAAATTTCACTAATTAATCATCCTTAAACTATAATTACTTATATTAATTAAAATTGAGATTCTAATTAATTTATAATTAAATCACAATTTTCGCATCAAATTTTCTTAACAGACATTACAATTTTCTCGGCAACCAAAAAAATTGAAACAATTTTCCCAGCATCCAAACACTCAAATTGTATAATTTTCTAGTGGCAAAAACCCTTCTTAAGCCCCTAGATTTATCTCAAATTAGCATTTAAGCCCTTAAATTAAATATGATGCAATTAAGCCCTTCAACTCCCCAACTGGTGCAAATAAGCCATTCAACTTAGATTTGTAGCAAAAGCGTCGACACCTATATTATTGTGTTGGCATTCTAAGTAGTTTTCAGTTTAAAAACCTTGTATTTTTAATTTAATCCTATTTTTTGGATACTTCCTTTTGCCCCAGTTAATTTGGAATTGACTCGAGTCAAATCTCATAAGGAAAAAACTTTTCCAGTACTTATCTCTCTATAACACTTAAACTTGAAATCTTATTTAAGAAAAACCAAATTCTTTTTATTTAAACCCAAAAATCATTGAGAATTCTGTCCTACTTTTTTACTAGAGTTTTTTTTAAAAAAAAATCAAAGTTTAGAGTTTAATTATAAAATAATTACATATCTCATTTTAATTAATAAAAGTTAAGGATACCACATACATTGTTCTTTTGTAATGTATGAATAATGAACAATGTATGTGGTATCTTCAACTTTTATTAACGAAAATGAGATATGTAATTATTTTACAATTAAATTCCAAATTCTGATCTATTTTAAAAAAACTCTAGTAAAAAAGTAGGATGAAATTCCCAACAACCTTTAAGTTTAAATAAAAAAAACTTCATTTTTCTTAAATAAAACTTTAAGTTTGAATCTTATAAATAGAGAGATAGGTACTGGAAGAGTTTTTTTTTCCTTATGAGATCTTATTTGAGTCGATTCCAAATTAATTGAGGTAAAGGGAAGTACCAAAAAAAAAAAAAGATTAAATTAAAAATACAAAGTTTTCTACACTAAAAACTACTTAAAGTGTCAACACAATAATATAGGTGTTGGCACTTTTGCTACAAATCTAAGTTGAAGGGCTTAATTGCATCATTTTTAGTTCAGGGGCTTAATTGCTAATTTGGGGTAAGTCTAGGGGCTTAAGAATGTTTTTTTTTTTTGCCTTTTCTAGCCAAGCAAATGGAAACCCACTAAAAATTGCTTCTTTGCCCATCGGTTACTATTTCTGTTCTTTCCATCGCTAATGATGTTCTTTCCATTTTGAACATTAAAATCATTTAGACAATAGTTAAGAAATATG